GTCACTACAATAGTCAATGTAGAGAACCAAAGAAGAAGGAAGAAAATTCAGCAAATGTAATTGCTGAACAAGTCTGTNATTGCTGAACAAGTCCGTTGATGCACTAATTTGTTGTGCAGACAGTCCAGTCGAATCTTGGATTCTAGACTCAGGTGCATCCTTTCACTCTATATCATGCAAAGAATTATTGCTTAATTATATTGCTAGAAAATTCTGGAAGGTTTATCTAGCAGACGACGAACCTTTGGACATTGTCGGGAAAGATGAAGTTCATAAAAATACTTCACAAGGCACGCTATGGAAATTACAAAGTCCGACATGTTCCTAGCCTAAAAAAAATCTAATATCTATAGGTCAGATTGACAGTGAAGGATATACAACAACATTCGGTAACGGATCGTGGAAGATAACCAAAGGAAATTTGGTTGTGGCATGAGGCTTCAAGAAGGGAACACTGTATGCAACTGCAATACAGAGAAATACTATAGCAATAGTTGATCAAGGTCGTGATACAACATTCTGGCACCGGAGGCTCGGGCATATGAGTGAGAAGGGAATGAAGTTGTTGGCATCCAAAGAAAAGTTGTCAAACCTAAAGCATGTTGAATTAGGTTTGTGCGAAGATTGCATTTACGGGAAACAAAAGAGAGTTAGTTTTTCAAAGGAGGGAAGGACACCAAAGAAAGAGAAGCTGGAACAAGTGCATACAGATGTGTGGGGACCGACTCTTATAACTTCTCTGGGAGACTCACGCTATTATGTCACCTTCATTGATGATTCCACAAGAAAGGTATGAGTTTGTTTTCTAAAAAATAAATCTGAAATAGTTGAGTTAGAAGAAATCTCAGAAAATGAAGTGGCTAGAGAGATTGCAACTGATTATGAAATTGAAGATGAAGAACCAAAAGCCGAATTTGGATCAGAACCAGAACCGGAACCAGAGATAGAATCATATGCAAAACAAAATCTGGAGTCAGGACTTGAATCAAATTCGGGATTAGTTACTCTTGAACATACATTAAGGAAATTTAAAAGAGTCATGAATGCTCCAGATAGCTTAACTTTCNCCAGATAGGTTAACTTTCTCTCTCTCCACTATTTACTTCTGACTGATGCTGGAGAACCAGAACATTTTGTTGAAGTAATGCAGGTGATAAACACTGATAAATGGAAGCTAGCCATGAAAGGAGAGATGAATTCTCTTCAAGAGAATAAAATATGGATACTTACAGAGTTACCAAAGGAAAGTAGGCATTGCAGAATAAGTGGGTGTACAGAGTCAAGGAAGAGCAGGATGGTAAGAAAAGATACAAAACATGATTAGTAGTAAAAGGCTTTCAGCAGAAGGAAGGAATTGACTACACCGAGATCTTCTCTCTTGTAGTTAAATTAACTACTATCAGGTTGGTGCTAAGTATCGTAGCTGTAGAAAATTTGCATTCGGAGAAGCTAGATGTTAAAACTGCTTTCTTGCATGGTGACCTTGAAGAAGACTTCTACGTGAAGAAACCTGAAGGTTTTCAAGTTTTTGGTAAAGAAAACATTGTGTGTAAGTTGAAGAAGAGTTTGTATGGTTTGAAACAAGCTCCCTGACAATGGTACAAGAAATTTGATGGATTCATGCATAACAATGGTTTCGCGCGATGTGAGATGGACCATTGCTGTTATATCAAAAATCTTGATGAATCCTATATCATTTTACTGTTGTACGTTGATGTTATGCTAATTACAGGATCTAGCATAAAAGAGATCACCATGGTTAAGCAACAACTGGCGGAGGAGTTAGAAATGAAAGACTTAGGACCAGCTAAGCAAATGTATGGGATGGGGATTAACAGAAACATGTCTGAAGGAACCTTAAAATTGTCTCAAGAAAAATACACACAAAAGGTACTAAGCAGGTTCAACTTTTATGATGCAAAGACCAGAAGCACTCCACTCGGAAGCCATCTTAATCTGTCGAAGGACCAATCATCTAAGACAGATGAAGAAAGGAAGTACATGTCCAAAGTTCCATATGCTTCAGTAGTATGAAGTTTGATGTATGCTATGGTTTGCACCACACCTGACATAGCCCATGCAGTTGGAGTTGTCAGTAGATACATGCCAGATTCAGGAAAGGAGCATTGGAAAGGTGTAAAATGGATATTGCGATATCTCAAAGGCACCTCAGGTATGACACTTTGTTTTAAAAGGAGCAATATTATCTTACAAGGTTTTGTTGATGCAAATTTAGGCGGCGATATGGATAGTCGCAAAAGTACCACCTGCTACGCATTCACCTTAGGTGGTAGTGCTGTTAGTTGGATGTCCAGACGTCAGAAAAGTGTTGCTCTATCTACCATAGAAGCAGAGTACATGACAATCTCAGAAGTTGAAAAAGAGATGATCTGGCTCAAGAACTTTCTTAAAGAGCTAGGTAAAGAGCAGGACAATTGTGAGCTTTTCAGCGATAGCCAGAGTGCAATTCATCTTGCCAAGAATCCAATATTTCATGCAAGATCAAATCACATCCAGTTGAGGTATCATCATATCCGAGAGTTGATAAGTGAAGGAACTCTTTCCCTGCAGAAGATACCAGAATCGAAGAACCCGTCAGACATGTTGATCAAAGTTATCAGTGTTGACAAACTGAGGCTATGCATCACCTCAGTTAGCCTTCAAGATTGATAATGTGAAGGCGCCACCAGAGAATAGTAAATCGTTTTTTTTTAATTTTCTTTCTTGATGTATATGGGTTTGAGTGGGAGATTGAAAGGAACAAATCCAGCTGTAAAATAAAAGAAAGAAGAGAAAAGCTGTAAAAGAAGACAAAGAGAAAAGGAGAAGAAAGAAAGCGTGAAATTTTTTTGCGGCAGCCTCTCTCACCCCACCAAGTCAAAGTTGGCGGGCTGCAAATGTAAAAGAAGAATTTGGCGTGCAATTTGCGGTGCCGTCTTCTTCATATTCACATTTGTTGAAAATTTTCTTTCAGCAGACGCTCTGCTTATAAATTGGCATCCCCTTCCTTAATTGTAAATTATCCCTCAACTTCTTCTTTCTCTTCAATTAATAAAGAGTTATTCTTTGTGTGGCCGTAAATTAGATAAAAATTGCCGAATTACGTAAATCTTGTCTTGTGCAATTTATTACTTTTCTATTTTAAATATTTTCACCTTCTATTAGCCTGACACGTTTTCCAACATGAAGAACCAAAACCAAACAACACAAAAAAAAAAGAAGAAGAAATATAGAAGAGAGAACATTCACATACTGAAAGTGCACCACTTCGTTAGTGCTCCATGCGAAAGACAGAGAATCATTTTTAGTCTTAAGTCCAAAGATAGTGTACTATATGCTTTTTTTATTTATTTATAACCGTGGTATCCTAGCCAGCTTGCGTGCACCTGATTAATTCTACGGGATACCTGCCACCGACTACCAGCAACAGACACCAAGTAATTCTATCCACTAAGGCTTGGATTGATTGAAGAAATCACCTAGTGTTTTTTGCCTCCGCTAGGATTTAACCCTTCTCACCCACTTCATTTACCACTAGACCACATCCGTAGGTGCTATTTTTGCCTTTTTCTCTTATATGTTCCACTTGTAATGTAAAGTCTTTTTCTTCTTTTTTCTTTGTGGAGAACTGGGATTTCCAGAACNGTATTCACATTTGCTGAAAATTTTCTTTCAGCAGACGCTCTGCTTATAAATAGGCATCCCCTTCCTTAATTGTAAATTATCCCTCAACTTCTTCTTTCTCTTCAATTAATAAAGAGCTATTCTTTGTGTGGCCGTAAATTAGATAAAAATTGTTGAATCACGTAAATCTTGTCTTGTGGAGAACTGGGATTTCCAGAACTTTTACCATTATAATATATGATTCTACCAAAGAAGGCATGCAGTAGTATCAGTATATACGAAGATGCAGATTACCACCATGTGGTCATTTTTTATTCTTCTTACTGGCCTGCTTCTTAAAGAAACAGCACAAGTTTCAGGCTTTCAGCTATAAGAATAAGATCACTACCAGCACTAATATCTTCATCAAAGCCTGGCTGCCCAGAAAGATGCGGCAACTTAACCATTCCTTATCCATTTGGGATAGGAAAAGGGCGTTACTTCGATGAACAATTCGAAGTGAGGTGCAATAACAACACTGCTTTTAGTCGTGGTCTTAATGATAGATCTGTGAAACACATATCCATGGACACCATCACGATTGTTATTCCTTTCAGTCCTTACCCCTACAACAAATCATCTGGAAAGAACATTTACGGTGATGAATACAGCATGGGAAAATACATCAATGAGTATTTCAGTGTTTCCATCAAGAATAATTTAGTAGCCATTGGGTGTGATATTTATGCTTATATCAAAGATTTAGACAACAGTAGTAGACGCCAAGACAATATTGTAAGTGGATGTGCTTCTTTCTGCGACAGTGGTGGAGCTAAAGGTAAGTAAACGGTTTATATGAATTTCTTTCATCAGAAAATTATATTGTGCAAGTAGGGTAAAATTACACTTTTTTGGGTATATATATTATAAATTGTTGAATTCCCTTAACATAAGGGAATTATCTAAGGTGGTAGCAAAAGTGGTTCAAAAAGTGTTTTTACGTTATAGGTTCACTGCTCTATGACTCCAGTAATGCTTCATATTCAGCTTCATCAACTTATTGCACTGGGAATCACGGTTGTTGTCTGTCTGCTTTTTCAAGAATGCCAAGAATTCTCTTTGCCTCCATACAAACAATGAACACGGAGAAAACATCATGGACATCTAGCAATTGCACCTATTTATTAGTTGTGGAAAAAGGCATTGCTGAATCTGAATTCACTCAATTACTTGGTAAGTGCAAAAAAGATGATTATTATAACGTCGGGCAGGCGGTGAACTGGGTAATTGGCAATGTTAGTTGCGACAAAGCCACCAGAACGCCAAAATATGCATGCGGAAAGAACAGTAGGTGCGTTGATGACACTACTAGACCTACTGAGGGATATCGATGCAATTGCTCTCCTGGTTATCAAGGCAACCCTTACCTCCCTAATGGATGCCAAGGTACTAATTCCCGTGTCCATCT